CAAACAATAACAATAAAATAGTAGTAAACCACAGCACTACTCTCCATCCTAATGACAACACTGTCACGACTAGACGACAACAGCGTAGCTGACCTTCCCTTTTTTAAACATTCTTAGAATGTTGTGTATCGATTTCAAAATCGATCTAACCGAAATATACAGACATCGATTCATAATATTTTATGTGTCGGGGAAGGCGTAGACCAAGCGAAGCACAGAATAAAAGTCTTACACTCTTATGACAATGGGGATTTGATATGATGCTGATGCTACTAGATGATTTTGAGACTGAGAAAGAAAATGGCACAACACAACATGAAAAATTGCTCTTCACACTTAAATAAAAAAACATTAATTGTAATTTTGTATTATTATTAAAAAAAGGTACATAATTATTCATTAATCAACAATTGTATATAATTATTCGCACTAGGTAAATCAGCCTTATAATACTAAAATCTTGGTCATGGAATAAATAAACATTTCATCACAATAGATCAATCAAAAATTAAAATTCTTCATCATCGACGCTTTCCAAAATCTGAATGAGTTCTGAGGAATCGTTCATGTTGCATTGCTCTACTTTTCTCGGTAATCACTTATGACGTCATCAGGGTGTCGTCTATCCTTGATCACGGTGCCCAGTGAACTGATTTTCGATGACGCGCTAAAGATGCGCTAGAGTTGAGATATTAGATTTATTATGCGAAGATAATCTGATAACATTTTTTTATTCATGTAGCTAATTATAGTTTTATGTTATAACCTTTAATTTTATTCAAATATCAATAATAATAGAAAAAAAACACCATTGAGCTGAATTTTGGATAGTTTTCAAGAAATCTATGCCTCCCGCGTTTGACACTAGCGGTCAACCATAGACGACTTTGGCGTGCTGGACATAGTATTTGCTTAGATAAAAATCCATTTTTATTAGTTCAATGTTTCTTAGTACTTGTGGCTCTAGAAGACTTGTTTTTTATACTCACATGTTGCTGGGTTATTCCTATTTTGAGGAGTGTAGAATTAAAATACCTGTAATAATTTTCCAATATCTATATTTCATATTTTTCGGAGCCGGGTTTTTTGTCAACTATAGACGTCGTTGGCGCTCAGGGCCCGCAGGTGTTGGTCAAGTATAGGCGACTTTGGCGCTCAAAGGGTTAAAGGATTCATGGTAAATCAGCTGGAAATTAACTTGTTTCGTTATCATAACATGGTTCTATTTTAAGTGTATTGTTATAAACAGATAAGAATAACTTAACCGATCTTCTTTAAAAACAGATAAGAATAACAGTTCTTATCTGTTTTCAAAGAAGATCGGTTAAGATTAACAGTTAAATTGTGCCGTAGCATTTGTTATTCTCTAAAGAATTCATTGGAAATCAGCTAGTAATTCGTTGTTTAATTATCGTAACATCATAATTATTTAAAAATTATATTGTAATGATGACACCGTAAATAATCGATCGAAAAAGAGAATCGATTTTTTAAATGTGTTTTGTGATTGGCAACACTTTTTTTTTATTCACAAACTAATGACATAATGATTTACCTAATTTTTATTATTATGTTTCCGGTACTTTTAATTTGTGCAAAAATATTCCCATTGTTTGAGGATAAATGAATACCGCGATTAATAACCATAAATAAAGATATAATTTTTTAACAAATGCACATTGTTGGGCGTTCCATGGCCGAAAATGGGCGTCCCCCTTTGGCGGCTGTGATTAATTCGAACAATTCCTCAGAGCACTCCTCATGGTATATGCGAAAGAAAATGCAAAGAGATGCGACATCTCTTCGCAGCGCCAGTGAATCGAGCTGATCGGAAAGCACTCGGTCTATGCACTCGGTCGTCGACGATTCGAGCCGCTCTGCGCTGAATGCGGTCAAGTGGAATGAGCTGGTACTGGGGAGCTCTAGCCCAGAGATGGAAACAGTATTCCATGTACGGCCGAACCTGCGCCTTATAAAGTTTTGTAAAGTTGCAGGCGGTGTATCGGCATGAAATACTGTCCCGCTCTGCTGAGCACGCCAAGCTTTTTTAGAGGCCAATTTGGCCTTCTCTTCCAAGTGACCACGAAACTGCACGTCACTCGATAAGTCGACGCCGAGGATTCCGATACTGGCTGAGGCAAAAAGGGGAGTTCCTTGAACATTTGAAATAAGTACTTTTTTATTGAGTGATTAATTGTGTGAATTTAATTACTTTTAAAAAGGTTTATTATTAGTACCTAAAGAAGTTATTTTTATAATTCTTAAACGTTAGGAGTTAAAATTGAGTCTCAACTATTTTATATAGGAAATAGCACAATGTAGATGAGAAAAGAACATCCTAATGACAATTAATCGTTTAGAAACTTAACAGGCAAAGAAATATTTATACTTAATAATCTAACAATAGACGTATTATGTTTACGGCGTAAATGATGCGAGTCAGATAAGACCACCCTCTCACAGTATACATCTGCTGCTTAGCAACGTTGCGTGCACTAGTGTGTTCCGATTTGAAAGGTATAGAAAGCCATTATAGTTACAGGACAGTACATCCCATCCTATAGTCTTCTGTGGTGACAACGCGTTTGTAGCCTTAGCTTTTTGTACGTGGTAGGGCCACACTGCAGCTATATTATGGTTGTAGCACGAATAGGTCGGCTCGACCGGGGATGAACCACACTCTCAAAGAATACCAGCGTAAAATAGCAGCTTAATACTACTGTTTTTCGTGAGTGTAGAGATCCGGAGACACTTTTTTACTGGAAACGAGGCTTTACATCTTCGTATTCAGGAGTGACAACGTACCTGCGTTTTGATTCTTAATCGAGGATAAATGTGGATGTCCATGGGCCGCAGTATCCGCTTACCGTCAGGTGGACTGTGTGCTCGTTTGTCACGTTTATTCTATAAAAAAGCCTTCATTTTTGAAATCGGTTGCAGGTGTCCGTAGGCTGCAGTAACCGCTTACCATCAAGTAAATCTATCAAAACTTCATCGCTGTACATAGGCCACCCCCATAGATGGTACAATGAAGGGGCTGTCTGCTACAGCTGCTTCGCGTGGCATACGGATTGGCAACTGGTTATTCATTGTTTTGTTATCAAGAAGATACAGATGATCATCTCCAGTTTCGTTTTTCTTAGTCTCCTCGTACGGAGATTATAATTATATAATTAATGAAAAAATTTCCAAGTACACTGAATTAAAACATGAAATTATTATAATGTGGAATTTACATAACGCCATTATAGTCCCTATAGTCCTCTCTACTGCTGGTGTAATACCAAAAGCGCTTCATCAATCATTGAAAACTTTAGATTTACTAAAACTAACATATATTCAATAGCAAAAAGCAATTTTACTTAATACTCGTAGAATAGTTAGAAAATTTATCTCAACAGAAAACCACCCACAACCAAACACGTCCATGGTACCCACTTGGCTTTGTCCCGTGGTAATAACCATTAATCCAGTTTTGTTAAAAATAAACTGAAAAAACGTAATAATAAAAATTTATTTCAGACCCACATAGTCCATAATTATGTTAGTAAATAGCCTATGTTATTATTAAATTCAATAATTTGATACTAACATAGGCTAATAAATATAGTAATAATAAAAATAATTGTAATAAAAACTGTGTGTGATTACACACACAGTTTTTATTACAATTATTTTTATTTTCGGCACCCCACGACACCAGGCGCATGCATTCCTACGATGGGATAAACAAATCTATCTAATATTGCCCTCAGAATGCTATTGGAACTCCCACGAACCCTGCACTGAAATAAAAAAATATTATTATGATATCAATACTTAAAAGGCATTAAGAAAAAGAAAAAAAGAAAAGAAAATATATAATTTAAAGAAAATATATAATTGATCCCAAGCCTCTAAGATCTCCATTGAAACTAGACGTCTTGTCATGTGTCTTATTGATTTTTAGATTTAAAGCAGATATCTGGCAGCTCGTATTGTAGGTACTGCATAATGCTGTGTAGCGGTATGGAAGGGTCAGCGTGGCTATGGAATCATTACGTTTGAGGTCTAATGATATACATATTTAGCATTAATCCAAATTTCGTTGAGTCCGGACCTTCGGAGAAAACAGCCAGCCGAAACTGGCTTCTAAACTGGTGGCGAGTTTCTGTTTTGCAATGGCAGCTTTGACATACCATATCAAGAAGTGTATATAAGTAATATTTCGCTTTGCTACTACTAACATATCTTTGTGTCGTTGGAAACCCTCACACTAACTCAGTTTGCTTGCAAACATTTGAATGTCTTCATCTATCCGTATAAGTTTGGGCATGGCCCCTTCTGTTCTACGGAGCATTTGCCTTAATTAGCAACCGTGGCTGGCGTATGGTATGTGTACCAGAAGTCGCACTACTTTGACGTTTCTGGCCGTCGCCGCTTTTGGTATTTTACGCCTAGCGTGAACGAGATAGTATAATAACATCTATCAAGAGATTTAGGACTTTTCTACCATTAACCACTGTCGGTTGCCTCTTATGCCACTACGTGGCACATGTTTTATAGTGTAATATGAAAAAGAAATAAAAATAAATAAAAGAAAAATAATTTCCGAAGAATTAGACGAATTTCTAATGAATTATCTATGAATTACAAATACTTGCAAAGCTGTTGTGGGGATATTATTTTATATATTTTTTAACTTTTGTGTCAGTTCTATTTTTTATTAAAACTTTATTTATTTTACCAATTTGAGTATCTTATAGTACGAAATTCAAGGTAACAACAAGAATATCGTCTAGTTAGGTAGGTACATTTAAATCTTCATTCCCTATTTTTCCAGCCTAAGGAATGGAAATTTGAAAGAATTCCATTGCTACAGTATAAACTATTCAATAATTAACTTACTTTTTTGAAATCGCTTTATAAATAAAACGTATTTATCTTTTGTATAAGTAAAAAACCAGTTCAATCATAATAACTAATTATTTTACTAAAACAGACGAAAACTATGTAGATTTTCATTGCGTTCCATTATTGCCTTTGGAGATTGCGATAGCGACTGCCGATCCCGTATCACTCTTAGCATTGCTGACGGCGGTGTTCCGATGTGGACATTTCTCGCAAGGTCGTAAACCATTTTGTCCGTCATTACCCCAACCGCCGTACTGGTTTTGTTCATGTGTGGAAGAGTCCGCAGAGTGAGAATCTAACGCTGTCTGACCTTCGGAGTTCCTTTCGTTGTGCGCTTGTTGTTGATTAAAATTTTCCAAGTATAATTTGTTATGTGGCGGTGGTGGAATCCAATATGGTTGCCAAAATGGTGGCGGTGGTGGTGGAGGCGGTGGTGGTAGTGGTGGTGGTGGTGGTGGTGGCGGAGGATAGTAGTCGCAGTTATGTGGGGAACGTTTTAACCTCTGCAGAAGACCATCTGTAAAGAATACATTGTATTATACACATGAAAACGTATTCAAGCTATATGTTGTATAAACTGTTTTTTTCTTTTGTTATGGACTAGTGAGGTTGTACTTTTGGCTGTGTCAAGTTATAAGAAATTATCCATTAAAAGATTTTGTTTAAAAAACTTTTTCACAATATTCTGATACGTCACGTTGCGAAATTTATATTATATATATATATACATATATATATATATATATATATATATATATATATATATATATATATATATATATGTATATATATATATATATATAATTTAATTTAATTTTTTCTAAAAGGCCAACAACGCACCAGCAATTCCCCTGGTGTTGCAGTTGTACATGGGCGGTGGTAGTCACTTACCATCAGGTGAGCCGCATGCTCGTTTGCCCCCACTTCCATGAAAAAAAAAAATTCGCGCAATGTAGAGATTTGCGTTCCTATTCGTAAACTAAAAACTTATGGAATACTCGACCATAGACTTTGTACATTGAAATAAAAATATTGAACTGTACTTATTTATCTGTTAAAAAATATTTATAGAAGCAAGCGTGACAAACAAGCCCGCAGTCCACGTGGTGGTAAATTGAAGCTTTTAGAGTAATTACATACATATGGATACTGTAGCCTTTTAGCCTTTGAACACCTACAGTTATCATCGATTAAGAATAGAAATGCATATGCGTTGCCACATTTGAGGTGGAATAATTTACTATCAGTAAAAATGGTTTCCAGTTCTCGTTACATAATGCAAAACACAGCGACTTTATGCTGCTATTTCACGCTGCTATTCTGTGCGAATGAATCGGGCCGCTTCCCCAATCGAGCCGACCCATTCGTGCTCCAGTGGCTCTACCACGCACGAGTAGATACATGTAGTACATCAAACATTTTATAATCACTTATAAAACACTTTGTATGCATGAAAATTAAACTTGCACCTAATTAAATGGACACATTTTTGTATAATATAAAAGCGGTAGATAAGACAACTTTTTTTAATTCATAATATATACTTACTTTGAACATCACCAGTAGAACTTGCGACGTAAATGAAAAAAACGAATAAAATAGCTCCCTTCTGCCACATTTTAGTGTATCATAATGAATAATATTTTAACATGTTACAATTTTATACCCGTCATGTTTAAACACAAACACACACAAAACTAAAATACTAAGAATCAGATCTAGGTAATAATTAGAAATGCTCACTTGACGGGTCTGGTGCGAAGTCAATGCCAACTCGTAATTTCCAAAGTTATTCCATGTGAACAGTTTCCATGTTACGTTCGTTTACGTAATGTGTATTTGAAATAACATGCTAAAAATTTGTATTATTATTAGATCACACGTTTATTTAAAATCTTGCATACATCGAACGCGAAGCGGAGACGCAATCTATTTATTTCGAAAACCAACAGCGTATACAGAAAATATTTAACATTAATGTAACAAACTAAAAGTATGGCCAATAACAGGTTTCCCTTATATTGCTTAATGGTATATTATTGTTCGAAGAAATACAAATAAAAACAAAAGACAAATCACAAGCAATTTAGTGTAACGAGGGTGGCCACAAACTTATAGATATTTTGAGTTCTTTAGAAGGTCTGGTAGATTGTTATTATATATTACATAAATGCATATATACACACACACACACATACGTTAAACAAACGTATATATATATATATATATATATATATATATATATATATATATATATATATATATATATACATATATATATCATCATCATCATTATCACAGCCCTTCACAAGTCCACTGCTGAACATAGGCCTCATCCAAGTAATGCCACAAAGCACGGTCCTGAGCCACCTGCATCCATCGACTTCCCGCATATCTTACCAGGTCGTCACTCCATCTAGTGGGGGGTCGCCCTACACTACGCCTACCGGTACGAGGCTGCCACTCAAAAACCTTTCTTCCCCATCGGTTATCAGTTCTTCGAGCTATATGGCCGGCCCATTGCCACTTCAGCTTACTAATCCGTTGGGCTATGTCGGTCACTCTGGTTTTACTGCGGATATCCTCATTTCTGAGTCTATCACGCAGAGAAACTCCGAGCATAGCCCTCTCCATAGCTCGCATATATATATATATATATATATATAATACATATTAAAAAAAGAAAAAGAAAAGAAAATATGTGGTTTAACTGCAACTGCTATGCTTCTTAATGGTTTTCATGATGTCATGCCTAAACACAACCTTAGATTTCGCAAATATGTCAATGTGTCCAAACTGTTCATTATACGTGCGAGCGAGTCGCGAGAGAACAGATTTTCGGCAGTAACTTGTAATCCCCTATTGTCACGAAATCAAAAAATCCCATTCCACTCAACTTAAATTACTTCCATCAACTTTATATTGCACATATGTAATAATATTTCTTTATTGTAAGTTATCAACCATCTTTTGATAGTAAAATTTAATTTTGTCCTTTGAGCCAAAGTATTGGTTTTCCAATAACTTACTATATAAGTATTGTTATTAGTTACACGTTTGTTTAAAATCTTTCTATATTTTCAGTCATCAACCATAGTTGTAAAATTTAATTCTGTCCCTTGAGCCAAAGTATTGGTTTTCCAATAACTTACTATTTAACAATTATTATTAGTTACGCATTATTTAAAATATGTCTATATTATAAGTCATCAACCATCTTAATATCCTTGATTGTAAAATTTAATTCCGTGCCTTGAGCCAAAGTATTTGTTTTCCAATAACTTACTACTTAAGTGTTATCATTAGTTACGCATTGTTTAAAATATTTCTATATTTAAGTCATCAACCATCTTTTGATTGTAAAATTTAATTCCGTGTCTTGAGCCAAAGTATTGGTTTTCCAATAACTTACTACTTAAGTATTATCATTAGTTACGCATTATTTAAAATATTTCTATATTTAAAGTCATCAACCATCTTCTGATTTTAAAGTTTAATACTGTCCCTTGGTTGTAAAATTTAATTCTGTGCCTTGAGCCAAAGTATTTGTGTTCCAATAACTTACTATTTAAGTGTTATTATTAGTTACGCATTGTTTAAAATATTTCTATATTTAAGTCATGAACCATCTTCTGATTGTAAAATTTAATTCTGTCCCTTGAGCCAAGGTTTTTATTTTCCAAAAACTTACTATTTAAGTATTGTTATAAGTTACACGTTTGTTTAAAATCTTTCTATATTTTAAGTCATCAACCATGGTTGTAAAATTTAATTCCGTGCCTTGAGCGTTTTGTCGCATGAAATCGTATCTAGATATTGAACATGTAAATGATATAAAAAGCACATTGTCAGAAAGATAAATGATTGTTGATCTTATTTTTTTTTGAATCGATTAATTGCTATTTTTATATTTAAAAAGTGGTTTTAGTGGCTTATTATGTGGATTTATCGCGTCCGCCTGGAGGGGTAAACACAATAACTTTGAAAATATCAATTGTTCAACTCAATCTATTCATCTATCATATGTGAAGACATGGAATGTAAATGGCTGTTTAATTTTATTTGGTTGTAATTAATTTATTTCGGCTATATTTTACCAAATACTGAATAAACTTTGACTCACTGCGGGCTCGGCCGCCGTTGTGATTATTGCATCGTTTGTTTACGGCGGCTCGTGATGAAAAATATCGATCGCTGTAGAAATACAAAATATTCCAAAAACTTACATACTTGACCAAGGTAAGATATTATTTTTATAATCACAGATTTTCATTACAATATATTGTTTCACTAAAAGTAAGTAGGATTTATAAATAGATATTCGTCTTGGACTTTACGGAGTGACCAGAAGGTGTATTACTTTGGTGAATGCTAAATTAAAATACTGGTTAAGTCTAGATGAAATACTCTTTGAAAATAGAATAAAGTTAATGAGACAAAAATTATTAACGACTCTACGACGGTAAAAAGACTACTTTTTACGATAATTCCTATCCTACCTAAAAATTTAAGTACCTAATATTAAAGTTGATTTCTGATCGTTTTAAGATAGTTCTGTTAAAAGTTTTTTACAATTAACAATTATTAAAAAGTTTTTACATCTCAATAATAATAACATAGTAAAAATAAAAAATAAATATATTCTATTGTCGATTGAGATTTTTTTCTACATGTTTTCACGATCATATTATGATCATTATGAGTTTACGATTCGTGCACTTTTGGATTTTCAAACCTTTTTTTATTGAAGTTTGACATAAAATTATCGGAAAATTAGAAAATATCACAAGGTTATTTGTGAAAACTTGTGTGTATATAAAATTCTTTAAAAATTTACGTATAACCTGAGCGCACATGTGGATTTAACAAAAGTTTTTTTAAGTATTATTATTAGTTATGCGTTTATTTAAAATATTTCTATATTTTAAGTCATCAACCCAGTAATGATTGTAAAATTTAATTCTGTACCATGAGCCAAAGTATTGGTGTTCTAATAACTTACTATTTCAGTAATATTATTAGTTACGCGTTTATTTCAAAATCTTCCATATTTTAGTCATTAACCATTCAATGATTGTAAAATTAAAACTGTGCCCTAAAGCAATGTATTTGTTATGGAGTGTAGAGGTAAGGAGTACAGACTGTGTATTAAAAAGTGTCCGTAGAAAACCGTTAATTTAGGGTGGCGCCACTATAGCTACGGGGTAAATTTTAAAGAACGCGCCGAAAAAGATATTAGTGGGATAGACGATTTTTTCGACGTTATATTTACGAAATAAAATTATTTTAATTTTTAGAGCTACTGAGTAGTTTTGCAGCACACTTCACACCGTCGAAAACTGCTAAGTTCATTTCATGTAGCTGTTTCCTGTAGCTACTCCAGCGCTGTTATAAAGCGTTTTTGAACTGTTATTTATTGCTTACAAATGGACACTTTTTCAACTATTCTCCTATAATAGATTGTTCACATTGCCTCTACACTCCATAGTATTGGTGTTCCAATAGCTTACCAAGGCGCTACTCCTAGCGAACGACCTTAGCGTTCGGTCCTATACATTCCACGCGCTCTCGCTACAATATATCGTGTAAGAAATACGCCCTAATTTGAAAATATTTTCTTTATAAAATCGAATTTTTGTACTTTAAAAAAATTTAATTGATCAAAATGTTCATTAACAAATTGCCTATCAATTAATGTCTATCGCAAAATAAAATAATGCTTACTTTATGAGGAGATGCATGTTATCAATAATTATTTCGCATTTCTGTAGTTTAGTTGTAAAATGATTCATCAAGATTTAAGTACTCCTTTAAAAAAATTGGAATCGGCCATTATGGAATCCAGATTATATAGGTAAAGTGACTTGATTCCAGGCTATTGTATTTAACCTCAAATTTAGAATTTTTTCCAAAGCAATTCTAAAATTACTATTAATATCTTTTAAAAATCCGAACATTTCTAGACTGGACTTATTGGCGTAATAAGTATGTAAATTTAGGTACAAGGAGATAATATTTTAAAATAGTAAGGGCAATATGGAGGTTTAAGATATATAATTTATCAACGTGATTTAAAAATTGATCAATTTTTTTTAAACTGGTTTAACACTATCGAAAAACAACGGAGTACCGAGCTGGTAAAGCGATTCCGTATTGACAGTTTTTATTCCTGGAGAAATCTGATTGAAATTTTGAATTAAGGTATCTCTGTTAGAATTATATAAATTATGAGAAATAAATATCTCACATTTATTGCTATTTGGTTCAAGACCAATATTTTTAAAAATTTTAAAAATATGAGTAAGATCACTGAGGACGTCATCTGCTTTATCTCATAGTGTACTGTCGTCTAGGATTACCAGACATTCAGCTTGGATTTCAAATTTGAAATAATAGGTTGAATTCCCAAACTGAAAAGAGCTGGACCTAGAGGTCCTAACCCTAAACAAGTTCGATTTTAAATTAACATCAATTGTAACACTTAAGTTGCAAATAAGGTTGGAATTTGAATTTGACCAGATTTAGCCAAACAAAAATAGGGTTTAATGGAAAATTGTGAAATAATATCACTTGATATTGGCTGGCCCATCACCTACACAATCACAAACCCAATATTCCCTTAGCTCAACATTCCCTTACCAATATTCGCCTTTTACGACATGCTAGGAAAGTAACACAGTTGAAAAATTCTGTTTTTTATAAGTCCTACACAAAAACAGAACCTGGAAGATCCAGAAAAACAGACAATAAGATTTTATGACTTTTTATAAAATAAGAGTGACAAACGAGCACACAGTCCGCCTGTTTTTACGCAGATACTGTAAGCATATAAACCTACATTTATCCTCAATTAAGAATCAAAATGCAGATTTGTTGTTACCCCCCAGACGACTGCGATTGAATGTATCGTTATCATTAAAAAAACGGTTACGTCCATGAGATTAAACGTTGTAGTGGGAAGAACCTTAATAAATACTTTTATCAATACTTTTTATTATTATAAAGCTTTCGAATTCACGCTGTTTAATTTCGTACAAAGAACGATTTTAAAATCTTTTAATATACAAAGTTCCGGTTTTCATGTGTTTGTAATTATTTTCCTCCTAAACGGGTTGACGGTTTCTGATGAAATTATGACACGGTAGGTGACACTGTTGTCGAGATCCAGAAATCTTCCGTGGGAATCCGGAGCGGATCACAAGAAACACTATATTAATTAACGAGAAGAGGGAAAACGGAAAAAGGTGCTTTATTAGTTTTTAAGTTTGTGAAGGACATTAGACAAGCATATCTTCTTTTTCTTTTATGTTATAGATTTTATACGATAGAACAATGTCATATTTATAAAATTAATTTTTGCTCCTTTTTGTAATATTATTATAGTTTCTTATCGTAAAAAAAACTTAAAGTGTTACATATTATAACTGCGAGACAAAACTAAATATAAACTAGATATCTTAACCATTTCACTGTCCCGTGAATCATATATGAAGTTTCGATTGTTCTATATTGTCTTTTTCGCGGACAGGCATGTTGTGAAATATCTTTTATGATTATAAATTAATAAGTATTTAAGTTTCTATATTAAAAGACAAGTAAATAAATTAAAAAAAATATTGCTTGAGAAATTTATTTCATTTAATTAATTTAACAATCAGATGCCTTCTTTGGTTTTGTTACAAATTAACCAGCGACAGAAAGTGCAATAGCTGAGCCACTGTGACTTTTAGCGTTACTGAGAGCGTAACTGCTTTTATCGCAAGTGCTACATCCACCCTGCTGCTGTTGAGTTTGTTGCAAGCCCTCAGAAGCAAGCTTGAGAGCTCCGCTTAAACCCGTCTGTAGTTTTTCTTGTTGTTTAGATCCATAGCCACTGGAAGCAGAAGCACCATTATGAGAATTTAAAGAACCTGCTCCTGATAAAAATCCTTCGTGCCCGCTTTCAGAGCCGGATACATAACTATTTTGGGATCCTATTTGTAGTTGTTGTTGTTGTTTTTGATATTGTTGTTGTTCGTTTCCAGAAAATCCGCTGTTACCATGTGTACTGTAGCCCAATCCCGAAGTAAAATCACTGTGATGAGCATTTTGGCTTTCATGTTTAGAACCACCGCTTTCGAATTGATCTGCCGACTCGAATCCGCTACCATGTCCATAGCCCGTGCCTTTTTGTCCACTTCCAAATCCTGCATATTGTGATCCCATCTGTAATTGTTGTTCATTTTTAGAAATTTCGGAGCCTTTACCATATGCAATATAATCCGATCCCGAAGTAAAATCACCGTGATGAGCATTTTGGCTTCCATGTTTAGAACCATCACTTTCGAAATGTTCTGCCGATTCGGCACTGCTACCATGTTCATAGCCTGTGCCTTCCTGTCCACTTCCAGAAGCTGCTACTTGTGATCCCATCTGTAATTGTTGTTCGTTTCCGGACATTTCAGCCCTATAGCCCGACCCCGATGCAAAATGACCGTGATGAGCATTTTGGCTTCCATATTTAGAATCACTGTTTTCGAAATTTCCTCCCCATTCAGACCCAGTGCCGTGTACAAAACCAAGACCTCCTTGTCCACTTCCAGATCCTTCTGCTTGACCGTGTTGAGATTCCAGCTGTAATTGTTGTTTTTGTTGTTCGTTTCCAGAAATTTCGAAACCTTTACCATGTGCACCATAGCTAGATCCAGAATTAAATTTTTGAGCTTGGAAACCAAGGCCTTTCTGAAATGCAACTTGCTTGCCACCTTCACTTTGATATGAGAAATGAGATTCCTTGAAACTTCCTTTGCCTCCACTAAATTTCTCTAAGCCTCCAAATCCACCGTTCTGTCCATTAAAGACACCAGCACCACCCGATGATTGACCAAAACTATCAGAAATTTTTCCATCTTTATTATAAGATGACTGTTCCTGTGTAACCGATTCTGCACCCGTATCAGCACCAACGGCAGTTGAAGCCAAAGAAAATGCTTGGCTTCCAGATTGAACGCCACCACCTATTCCAGCGGCAGCTCCACTAAATAGTCCTTGATTTAATCCGTCGTGGCTACGTGTAAGTCCACTCCATTGTTTTGTGTGAAATACTGGGAAGGGTGGGATACCTGGTGGGGGTGGTGGAAGCGGTGGTAGTGGTGGACCAGCTTTAGCTTCACATTCCCCACAATAACCCGGAGACCGAATTATTCTCCTCATAACTGCATCTGAAACAATGTTCTATAGTTCTTTACACCTTACTTTACAAAATTAATATAACAGAGGTCTTATTGAAGTTTGACAAGTTTCATTCCTAATGCATTTCATACATAAATATTCTGCTATTTCTCCTACCCATAGATTAGGCTTTAAATAGTACACTGTTGAACAAGGATATCTCCAATGGTAAAAGTTGCTGTATATGTCACTTTTCACAGGCAGATTAGGTTTCGCATTAATAAAAAAAGCACTTTAAATGTAAGAAATTTTACATTACCTTCAGCTTTTGGTAGAGCCCCTTGAACAGAAAGGACACAAATTCCTAACAGATAAATGGTTGCCGTATCCATCTTGTCGGATACTCAACTAGTTCTGATAGAGGATACTTCGTTCCAGCATTTTATAGGCAAATTATTGCCATGTGATTAAATGATATTCCGAGAATAGCGTTCTCAAACGGAATGTAAAATTGGATGTAGCAAATTGTTAAAGTAAACAGAAAACTTAGCACTGTTTTTAAATAATTCACTTGAATTTTTCACATGTATGTGCAGATATTTATATGGTTTTTGCATTTATTTATTTTTTAAAGTTATCACTTTGTCGCTCTACTAGACCCGGACCAATTATTTTTAAGTTATACGAATACTAGTTTCATGCGGGATTCTAACCCAACCCGTCAGAAGTAAAAGCAGTGACTATGCATTTTATTATTTTTAATCTGGGTTATAATTATTTTTACTTATAAATACCTAACAACATTTTGTTAAAAGAACGAATTCATGCTTTCTTTTACATATCTGATGATACAGTTAGGAGGATCTACATAACTCTTTTATTATAAATGATAATAATCAAGATCTCACCGTGGTTAAGTTCCATAGTATCTTAAAATTATGATAAACATGTTACAAGTAGCCTGAAAATTGGGGTATCAATATAAGCTTTTTATGTAATTACTAAGCAATTGATAATAAATTATCAATTTTAAACGTGTACTAGCTGATACCTGTTCGCTTAGTTGGGCGCACGACAACAGACGATAATAACGTAGATATAAAATATCAAGAAATTCTTATGAGACTATCGTAAAATCCGTGATTATCCGTTCTTAGTGAGCGTCTTAACTAAATTTCAAGTCTGGGCGCACGGCGACAGACGATAATAACGTAGATATAAAATATCAAGAAATTCTTATGAGACTATCGTAAAATCCGTGATTATCCGTTCTTAGTGAGCGTCTTAACTAAATTTCAAGTCAATCAGGTGTATAGTTTCAGAGATATCGTGATGAGTCGGTCAGTGAACTAGAAAATAAAACAAAATTACCTCCTGCCAAACGTGGCAATTATGGCATGGTGAATTCTTTATGAGACAATATGGAGGCTTATATTCAGCACCATTGGATATGTTGACGTTAATAGATCGGTAGAGTAGTACAAAGTGATTTAAACAATTAGTTTCTCACATAACACGCTAGCAATTACCAAGCAACTTCTAGAAGCTCCTAAAGTAATTTATTATTCTAGTAAACGAACATATATATTTGTTAAAGTTGTAAATAGCCTGCCATTAACTTTAAGAGAAGATAATGTGGCGCTGTCTATTGCAGGAAATGTTGAAAAAATATTTCTTGTTCTAAATCTCTATTAAATTAATATGTATTTACGCAACGTTAATTAAATTATAATATTTGAGGGGGATGAGTCGCTCGCGTCCGTAGGCTTCGACCACCTAACCTTAGGCCCACCCTACACGTGCCCCCCCGGGTGGTGCTAAACGAGCGACAAAGCCGAAATAATAGACTCGGCTCCTCGCCGTATGGTAGCGGCGTAAAATCTACCACCACCCCTTGTTCGCACCATGAGTCAGAAAATAAAAGAAATGGCCCCGAGTTCCCGGCGCCCCTTTAATGGGGCAGGGGTGCGAAGAATCTCCGGGAGAAAAACCGGCGACGAGGTTCGCCACCCGTCACGTTCTGTCTCCCGGAGGGGCGAAAAGTGGATTGCGGAAACCCGTCTGGCTACGCTGAATGTATGTGGAGGAATGAATGATAAGATGGATGAAATATGCGAAATGATGAATGACAGAGGAATAGATGTGTTATGTGTGAATGAGACGAAACGAAAGGGAAAGGATGCCACTGCACATGGCACGTATACCGCGTATTGGTCTAGTGTAGACGAGACCGAACGGGCATGCCAGGGAGTCGGTTTCATCCTTTCAGAAAGAATGGGTCAATGTGTGAAAGAGTATGAATGTGTAAGCCCAGGGCTGCTATGGATACGAATGAAAGTGAGCTTAAAGAAGCTGTTCCTGCTAGGGGTGTACGCCCCAGACATGTCTAAGCCCATTTACATCCGAGAGCAGTTTTGGGACATGGTAAGGATGGTGTTGACAAAATGTAAGGAAAAAAAAATATTATTATGTTAGGAGACTTTAATGGAAGGGTTGGGATGAAGAGGTCTGGTTATGAAAGGATATTGGGAACGTTTGGTGATGAAAGTATAAATGAGAATGGTGAAGACCTCCTCACCGTATGTGTGGAAAAGAATCTTTTTGTGACGAATACTTTTTTTCGTCATAAGAAGATTCACATGTATACATGGGAAAGAGTTGATGATAGAAGCATGATAGATTTCGTAAATGTGGATGAAAGAATGAGGAGCGCAGTCGTATATACAAGGGTTTACCGGGGGGCCAACGTACGGACGGATGATTACTTGGTCTTATGTCGAATTAATGGTCTTTTCAAGCGTTGGCGGCATCGGACATCTTCCTCCACCTCATCATCGGGATGTGCCGAAGGTGGTGCGTAGACCTGTATGACCTTCAGCGAATACCGTTTGGTGATTCTGAGTATCAGGTACGCGACCCTCGTCGACACACTCCCAATCTTTACAACGTTGTTGACGAGAGACTTGTGGACGATAAAGCCGACACCTCCTTGGGACAGATGGTCGCCCTCCAGGTGATAGAACAAGTTGCCGGACTCGAGGATTACCGTGTCCTCCCCCTCTCTTCGGACCTCATATAATCCAATAATATGCCAGCGCAACTTGTCTACCTCTTCTTCCAGCTCCAGTATCTTCTCGTCAGTCCTCAGGGTGCGTGCGTTATACGTTGCCAGGTCGAGTCGTCGTAGGTGGCAACCGAACCTCCACCGGAGATTCTTAGCACCCCCTGCCCCGCCGTTACCATGGTCGCCACCGTAGCCAGGAATAACGGGGCCGCCGGGGACTGGGGGCCGTTTATTTGTGTCGTTGCTCATGGGGGGATATTTGCCATAGTTGCCACGCTTGGCGAGCGGGTTGGCAACCGCAGTTTTTTATTATGTTATTGTTATTAAGAAGATGCTGCTGCCCATCTCCTTTCTGTGTCCCTCTGTCGCCTCTTACGACACCCACGGGAAGATATGGGGTAGTGGATATTCTCAACCGCCACTACACGGGTTTCTCTTTTACTATTTAAAAACAAATTATTGGTTTGTAAACCATTGGACCTACTTTGATAATATTTGTATTTAATAATTATATCTTTTGTTTTCAGCTTTAAATTATGGGCGAAATATTATATTCCTTCCCAACAGCAGTATACTACTTTAGATTTCCAGACAAAGCTACATAATGAGCCCAGAATGCTGTGTGAAAAACATTTTCATGATGGTTAATTTAATGATGCAACCAAGAAAAAGCTTTTAAGAACTGCAGTCCCATGTGATGTAAGTAAAGTGTATAATGTATATGGTAATATGGTATGTATATAGTTTTCTTTAAGGATTACTCAGATATTTTATATAGGGATTACTATATTCAGGAGTGGACTTTGATAGACTGTACTGAAAATGATGATGATTATTCAGATGACCATTATCTGGATCTAACATGGATGGACAGACCACATACAGTAGTTTGAATCCTGTAAAGGCACAACTTGTACAACACAGTAGAAATACATGCATCAAATGGTTCTCAAACAATAGATAAACACAAGATTTCTTTTCACATAGTTATTGTATTTACTATCTTATTTTGTTATATTAATTGTAATAGTGGGTGTATTATAGAGCAAGTTGGATGAACAAGATCCATTCATTTATTTTGTATTGGTAGGTAGAAGGGTAATGTAGTGCCATGAGTAGGGACTGGTTTACTATGAAAGTAATGTCAATGAATATAATGTTAATTTAATTTTATATAATAATTTTATGATACTATAATTTATTTCAGTTTTTATTTATTTCCAGACCTACAAAGTGTATTCCGATTTTATTTTGTGGAATCACAAGCTGGTCCTTCGCAAATTATTGCTGCAAAACCACAAGCAGGATCTTCAAAAAGGACAACATTATATCCACTGAAGAACAACCACAAACATCAAAGCATAACACATAATGTTGAACCTGAAAAAAGAAAGTACTCTATATGAAAAATTTTAAAATGAAGTAAGGAATATTTTTGTAATCTAATATTTAATATGTTTTATAATTTTGAATTAAAATTATTCTATTTTTAAGCTGCATTCAATACTTAATATATTGCATATAATATAGAGACAAAATTTTTAGTGTCAATTCAGGGAAATAGATAGACAACCAAATATTATCAAAACAAAATTATTATTTGTGAATGTTGTACTTTGCACTTTTGTGTAGGAGCTTATTTATTAATTAACTTGTTTTTGATTAAAATATTGATATTTTAGTTATTGTAGACATTCTGTGATTTGTGATTGTGCATATTATCAATTCATCCATGATTGTAAATCTTTTTAAATTGTTTGTCATTGTTTACTTAAGTAATTGAAATGTTGTAATCAATATTAATTTTCTTTTCATGTTTAAACCCATCAAATGTCTTTATGAAAGAACTAAGCTGCTGGAGAAATTTTGTTTCTTAAGTTATGTATGTTTTTATTTTAATTTGTATTTTTATTTTGAATAAATAAATAGAAATTTTGTGATGTTTGTTCTTTTATTTAGCGCTGGGATAGGCAACCCA